TTCTGAAGATAAAACTGAAACATTAGTGTCATTATTTTGTGGATTTCTTTATACATATTTAATATATTATTATTGTTATTATTATAGGATATTTATATAGCGCACATATCCACGCAACAAGTGCATGCTCAAGGCGCTGATATTTCTTCCCTAGATCATTGGATGTCAATCTCAACGGCACACCATATTATCAATCTCAACTCCCCGTGGAGTATACAACTCTTGCTGCCACAAGGTGCACAGAGTTATTGTGGCTTTCTCATCCTAACAAGGTACCTATTCACAGCTGGGTGGACTGGGACATAGTCACAGTACTTTGTCCAAGTTCACTGCCCGTTGCTGTACCCAGAACTAGGTGTTTGCACGTATACATGTGGCCACTATCTGGTCATATACCAACGGATTCGTGGGTTCATCTAAGTGCACAGGGTTGTGTACTGTACACTAGGGGTTGTGACTACACTGAAAGAGTCTGCACACAGAGTTGATTCCAAGGTTTTTACACCTGGTCACAGGTGGGCTCGATCCTCGCACCTCAACCTCGCTGATCACTAGCCTGACGCTTTAGCCAGCTCAGCCCACCGCACCGTGTAATTCCTACTGTACTCTGCTGAACTTCACATCTTCATCCATCCAACCAACCTTTTTCCTGGTTGTAAGAAATCGACATCGTGACGCTTTATCTATGGAACATACCATTTGATACTGATTCTAAGGGTCAAGTTGGAACCTCGGGTTTACCTAGGAGATCGGGCTTACCTATGGTAACACACACACCCATGCACACACACACACCTATGCATGCACGCGACGCTAGGCACACACACACACACACATCATACACCCACGCTTGATGTTGGCTTATCATGAAACCAACAAAAATGGCTGTTCAATGGTTACATATTGATCCAGGTATCTGTTTGCAGCCTTGTCGTGATTATGACATTTCTTAAAAAGTTTTAATGCAATTTTAAAGTATATCTTTTTTTTCTGCCTCGCAGTTTAAACACGGACATACCAATACCCACACATACAAGTACCATTAGAAATGATGAAGATGGCATTTATCCGATATTTGTCTGCGCAGGACACATCATATGCCATTAATGCACGCCAGCAAACATGCTGAGTGATTTATATAAACTAACACCTGACACTTATTCATAGTGACAGCTGTTCTCTAAATAAATAACACCCAGTAGGAACCACAAAATATGGTTGGGAATATGCCAGTAGGCATTTTGGATTTCAAGGTATGCAAAATACAAGTTTTGGTCTAAATCTAATAAAATCTGGTTTTGAGTACAGCATTTGTTTTTGTATTAAGAAGCAAAACGGACATCCTACACGCTACTCAAAGTTTGTTTAAGGTCAACTCTATAACAGCTTATAAGTCAAATTGTGTGCATCACTAGTCAAAGAAAATATCACAGGAAGACACGCCTCAGAGAACAAAATTGTTGCGTCACGCCCAACACAATGCCTACAGAGGTGACCAATAGGAAGTGAGTGGGAGTGAGTTTTGTTTTACGCCACACTCAGCAATATTCCAGCTATAGATGGCAGCGGTCTGGAAATAAACGAGTCTGGACAAGATAATCCAGTGATCAACAGCATTAGCATCGATCTGCGAATTGGGAACCGCATGCCATGTGTCAACCAAGTCAGCTTAGCCTGACCACCCGATCCCGCGAGTCAGCCTCTTTACGACAAGCATGGGTTACTGAAGGCATTATTTTAACCCGGACCTTCACGGTCCAATCGTGCAAGTAAGATCACCTATTTTAATGAAAGTACCTGACCAATACTGAAAATTCCAAACGCCGCGAAAATAAATCAGTCCTTGAAACAACTTGATCCCTAGCAAACTTTGAGTAGTATATTTTCAAATGTTAAATCCTATGTTCTACCTCATTCATTTGCAACAGGTAATCTCATAACATCCTTCAAATACTTTCATACTGATCTGTTATTTTCCAACAATATTCTGGTTTAAATTATGAAGAGGAAAACAAAATACTAGTGATTGAGTGAGTTTAGTTTTACTTCATTCAGCAATATTCCAGCTATATGGTGGCTGGCGTGTAAATAATCGAAGTCTGGACCAGACAATACAGTGGATCGACATCATGAACATCAATCTGCTCAAATGGGATAATGATGAGGGTCAACCAAATCAGTGAGTCTGACCATCCCGATCCCCGCTAGTCGCCTCAACGCATAAGCATGGGTTACTGAAGATCAATTCTAAACCCGGACCTTCATGGGTAAAAACAAATACTAAATACACGGACCATATATTATCTTGAGACTTATAGTATCGCCAGGTACAAACAAAACAAACCAAGACGACTTTCAAGTCTGAGGCCTGTGTCATTGTAAAGCTATAACCTGTAAACTCAAGAGTGAATGTCTGTGCCTCTACACAACTCTTAGCAATATCCCAGCAATATAATGGAGGGGGCAATTAGAAATCGGCTTAACACATTGTACCCGTTTGGAAAATTGCACCTAGCCAGCTTGATAAAGAATGCTTCAGCCACAATTCTATCCCACCCCTCTTTAGATATGTGTCCATCAGTTACCTCCCACCATTACACTTGTTCATGTTGTCACCTGGACTGTGTCAATGTCATTTTTCAAACCGTGGCTCCACCCCTGAGAGCTTGTGGAGCCAGCAGCAGTTTATCACAGTATAATTTACACAACAATTTCCTGTCGAATTAAATGAAAAAATTCAATGACCAATTACAACCAATTTAATGTATCGAGCTAACCAAATTTCTACTCCCAATCATGTCAGAATATAATCTCCCAGGAGATAAATCACCTCTGATTATCAGCAATCACAAAGATAAGTAAAGAGGATTGTGTAACCCATCACAGACACCGCGTAGCTGATGCTAGTTTCCATCTGTTATCCTGAGCGAGCTGTGTGCAACACTGCTCCCTGCCAATATTAGGCTTTCCATATTCTTTCAGTATTTCCAAAACTGAGTTTCAGTTTTTCAGTTTTTCTTCTAAGTTTACACTTTGGGCCAATACAAACATTAAGATTACATTTTTGAGCAGGAAAATCAATTTATATTTTTTCTTACTTTGAAAAAATACACCTGGTGGATCCGTAAAACAAGAAATAAAATTGGTCTGGCCTCGATATGAAATGAAAAAGTGGGTTTTTAAATCTCAGTTTCACACAACTGTGGTAATTTATGCCTCGCATCAGAAAAATATATTCTTTTTATCCTTTCTAACTCATGAAAGACAAAAAACAGGACAGCTTGGTCTTCCTCCACTTACGTTTGTTTCCAGCAAACTTATTTATAATCAGACCTGAACACTGAAAGCCTTATAATTCACTACTATGGTCAGCATAGAATCTGTTCTGCAAATAGTATCTCAGTGAGATGTAATTACAATTCATAGAGTTACTTCCCTTTGTTATCTGTTATGGGTTCAAATCCTATGTTGTTTATATGCCTCTCCTTACTCAGCTGACACACTGTGAGATAACTGAAATACTGTCAGGTGACAACCATATTCACATATACCAGTAGACAGCTTAGGCTGTTCTCTTTTTCTTTCTTTTTTGACAGCCCTGAATTTTCATTCCAATGTGATAATAAAATGTTATCGACCAATTTCCACCACTGTGGCAATATATACCTTTACCTCTTCATCTTGATGGTTCATCTACATTTTGAAAAACATTTTCTGAATCAAAGCCACTTGATCAACATCCTAAATTGATTTGAAGACGATTACCAAGTGATCTAAATTTTAAATTTCATAAAAATAGTCCCACACTTAGTGGATAAAACACACCTTTTCTTTTTTTTCCCCCACTCCTGGTTGGTGAGATTGGAGTTGGGATAATACAGCTGACATCACTACTATGAGATAACTGAAACACTACCCAGTGATCCTACATTCACTTGTGGCAGTTGTTTGTGTAAACGATTGTTTTATATCAGTCCTGTTTGACACTGAATTATGCAACTGGTAAAAAACACTTGTTAAAATGGAGACATCAGTTTGTGTCCTCAGAGACATTTGCCTGCACATACACTACCCAAAAAAGAAGCTTTAAAACAACCTTAATTTTTAATCTGACTACAGTTAAACTGGCATTACGATGAAAAATTGACTGCACTCACATTCAAAAGTAATTCCATGCTTTACATTTAAGTCGTATATATGCTCTTCCTGTATTGTCAAACGTTGTGTCACTGTAAATACAATATCGCATACAACCAACACATAATCCACAAATGTACTATTTACCACCACCAAACAGAAAAAGCTGTCTGATAGAAATAACTGCAAAGAGGTAAACTCTAGAATGCCGCGCCTAAAATCTGGAAACAGTGTGACTCAAACATTATAATAATTCTATATCACTCTGTTTTCAAACACTTGAAAATATATGTTTGATTTTAATGCAAAATGCAAAATTAATGTCCATCACAGAAATAACAAATAAAACTCAATTTACTAGCTCTGATAATCTAAAATAATAGACTATAAGCTACGCTTTCCCAGCCCTTTCCAAATCTATATAATTTCCTATGACTGAATATGTCCACAACTGCAACAGTTAACATGTATGGCAAAAACTTGAAATCACAGAAAATTCACGCACTAAAATAATATTATGGTAATTTTATTAAATATCTCCATGATAGGGCCTAAACCATGTTCAGGAAAAATGGAATCAACAGCTTATTATGTACTGGGTGCTTTGTGTCTATAAACACTGTCAGTGTGTCACCAGTCCTGTTCAATATCACCCAGGTATTATTAGCTTACATATTGAAAAATGCCAGCCTGTGTGGACCACAGTGAATACCAGCATTGTTCCTAGTCCTCACAAGTGTGTCGATGTTAGCCACAGCTGAACAGTACGGGAAAGTTCAGGGAACAATCACATAAATATATTCGAACCTGTGGATCTTTATCTGACCTCCAAAGGGAGATAACTAGGTCCTCATAATTTGCACTAAAACTAAATTCAATTCTATCTGAAATGGGAAATGCATTCAGAATATTCCTCATGTGTAAAATTAATATTTTTGTGAACATTTGTTCTGAGTCCCTTGCATCTAATCAAACGGTTGGACCTTAAATGGATCTGTTGTTCCTTTTTGGAAATTTGGTACAAAACTTGTCCAACATTGTGTTATCATAACTCTGTGCCAAGATAACTGCCATCCCTGCAAAATACTCCAAGCAATGGTAAAGCTGGATACAACCTGCAAACATTTTCTTAAGAACTCTGCAAAGTGAAGATTTTTAGAAAAACTCCATAAGTGAAACTACACTTTGAACAGAGGATATGGTTTCAATATTTGCTTGCTAAAGGACATCTTTAATGACACCATGTAATACTTGATGTGTAAAATATTTTGAAAAATTAAAGCTATATTTTGACTCTCTGACTTCAGGGCAACTGTGTGTGATCAGTGTTCCAACCCCCTCTGATTGCTCTCTAGTAGACTGATCCAGTTCAGCCTTTGATCTGAGCTCTGTGGAACATACCCATTCACGCTTTGGGGTAGACATCTTAAAGCCATTCTTCACATCTGAAATGATAAAAAAATGTTTATTCAGACATAACTTATTTATGCATACAGAAAAATAATGAGTGAGTGAAATTTAATTTTACACTGCTTTTAGCAATATTCCAACAATATCACAGCAGGTATACAAAAACAGAATAACTGATGTTCTAGAGTATAGATCCCCATATCAAAAACAGGAAAAATAATAAAAATCCAAAGCATAAAATCCACCATAGTAACAGGAAACATTTTCACCCTTAAAAACCTGTGGAACTTTTGAGAATATATCCCCACCAACATATGCTTGTCATAAGAGGTAATTAAATGGACTGGATGGTCACCAGCTGAATGATGCTCATAGTGTTAGTCACTGGATTGTCTGGTTCAGACTCAAATATTTCCTCACTGCTGTCCTTGCTGAATGTGTTTTTAAATCACGAAACCAACCAACAAACAAGTATCTCTACATTATATGGAGTTAGTCTGTCTCACATTATATCCATGTAAACATTAATCAATTCTCCCTGCCTCTGGATGGAGCAATATATATTAGAGAGCCTTTGTCTCAATTAATCCATACAAGGCTAATGTCTTTGAGATAGTGAGAAATTTCCACAGAATGTGGACTAATAAAATATCAGCAACAGGCCTGTGGGAATGTTTCTCAGGAGCAGAGGCCCAAACATACATTCATGTCAATTGTCTCAGTCACCAAACCATATTATTTTCCATTCTGCCCGGGCCTTCTGTAATGTAAAAACTCCTAAACAAAACAAGTCCCCCGGTTAAGAATCTCCCAGCTCACTGGATCTCCTTTTTTAGTTCAAATAGGGTATGTGTTTCTATCAAAAGATATATTTTAGAATATATCAATTGTCTTATCTATGACTCCAGCATTTTCTCTGCTGCATTATAAAAGTACAAGAGTATTAATGTTATTAAAAAAATAATCCACCTGGCCGAAAACGCGGATCGTGGTTCCTAAAGGTTTAAACAAATACCCTGGATGTATGGGGACATTTCATAGTGAGCCGCATGGGTTGATAAAAATCCTGTCTAAATATCTTGATAAAAAATAATCCGTGGCCAAAACATGGATCATGTTCATAATGATTAAAATAGAAATATCTGAAATGAATGATAAGGCTAAAAGTACTCCATGCAACGAGTTCATGTTAAACTAAAAGCTATTTGCAATGCCTCATGTTCAGTAATGATCAAAATAGAAATATCTGAAATGAATGATTAGGGCTAAAAGTAATTCCATGCCACAAGTTCATGTTAAACTAAAGCTATTTGCAATGCTGACACGTTAAATATAAAACCCAATCGCCCCATGATTTTCGTGGTTATCATAACTGAGCGTGCAGCAGGCTCACAGGTGTCTGTTTCTAGACCGAGTGGTCTGGATGACGGTATGACAGCATCAGAGACTGGTGCAGACTGTTGCCAGGAGTTGGAGATGTGTCACACCAGTCACATCACCACTGTGTTGACACATCATCCCCTCCTTACAGCTGACAGGTATGACCTTCACCTCTGACCTCCACAAGGTTGCAGTGACCCAGCCCTGTAATTTTTGCTGAGTTTGCAGATGAACAGCACCAGCTGACTTATAATTGTGATTGAAGAGATACAGTCAATTAAACACTGCAGCTTCATATACAATATAAAACTTGTTTCTCCGTTAAAGAAATAATAATAAATTAATTTTCGGAAATACGTGCACAAACACACAATATAAACTCATTAGCACAATGCTGTAATATGACACGCAGATTAGAGGCAATGTACAAGCATGCATATAAAACAGCCGCGGTAGCGACAAGTGTATAACTGGAAGCACAGTTTTCCCTATCATCTGAATTATAACCATTTCATAGATTTATTTCCTCTTTATGGTTTTAAATATAAAATACTACAACTCTGGTCACTTTGTTTACACATGGACCTAAAATTGCTTAGGGCAGTGTTTCAAACTAGCAGTAACCTGGGATTTAGAATGAAATTAGGTTCCTACAAACCTGTAGCCTCATTGTAAGACTGACTGACTGACTGAGTATGGTTTTACGCCTTTTAGCAATATTCCAGCAATATCACGGCAGGGGACAACCAGAAATGGGCTTCACATTGTGCCCATGTGGGATTTGAACCCGGTCTGCGTGACGAGCCAACGCTTTTAACCATTGAGGTTATTTACGCCCACTCATTGTAAGACCGCCTGGTGTAGTGGGAAGAGCGATCCGCCTGAGAGCCGAAGGTCGCGGAGTTCGATCCCCACCGCGCCATACCAAAAAAGACGCTAAAATATGGTACTTGTTGGTCTCTGCCTGGCGCTCGCATTAATTGGTACAACAAGGACTGGTCGGCTTCGGAGTCAGTATAATGTGTGTCTGATGGGGTATTCATGCTTCACTCTGCGGCGGTATCCCAGTGCGGGCTAGCACTATAAAACCAGCTTACGTCTGGGGCTAGTACAAGCAGCCGCACATATACATATACACACGCATGCATCGTGTCGTCACATGAGCCAAATATTCTCAAGCACGACGTTAAACCACTTCACTCCTCACCTCACCCTCACTCATTGCAAGAGGCACATTAGGTGACCGGAAACACCAACATGGGTGATTGTGAAATGAGTAAGGAGTTTAGTTTTCAAGTCGCGACGCTAACAACATTCCAGCTGTATGGCGCGGTTTGTAACAATCGAGTCTGGACCAGACAATCCAGTGATCAACAGCATGAGCATCGATCTACACACCGGGATGCGGCGACATGTGTCAACTTGTCAGCCACGTTCGACCACCCGTTCCTGTTAGTCGCCTCTCTTACGCCAAGCATAGGTTACTGAAGACCAAATCTAACCCGGATCTTCAACGGGTACATCAATAAAACCAAACTCAGTGCCTGTAATATCCATCACTGGATTCCACATGCTAAATTTGATTACTTGCATTCCTCTGTCATGCAGGTGGAGGTGAGGTGAAATTGGGTTTTACATCGTGACTCTGAGAATATTTTGCTCATATGACGGCCGCATGCGCAGTGTGTATGTGTATGTGTGGCTGCTTGTACTAGCCCAGACTTAAGCTGGTTTTATAGTGCTAGCCCACTGAGATACCATGCCGCAGTGAAGCATGAATACCCCACTCCAGACACATTATACTGACTCGAAGCCGACCAGTCCTTGTTGTACCCATTAATGCCGAGCGCCAGGCAGGGACCAACAAGTACCATATTTTAATGTCTTCTGGTATGACGCGTCGATAGGATGAGAATGACCTTTCGCTCTCGGCTGACGCTTCTAACCACTACACCACGGAGGCAGTCAGCCATGCAGGTGGAATGGAATATTGTTGACAGTAGCATAAAAACATCATCCCAGCAATTACATTATAGATTTCCATATGAAATGCCTGTTTGTATTTTCTTGTGCATATCACAGTAAACTGGGGTGGTGGGGGCAGCCTAGTGGTTAAAAGCGCTTGCTTGTCACTCAGAAGACCCAGGTGCGATATCCCACATGGGTACACTGTGTGAAGCCCATTTCTGTATTAGAAACAGTGTTTTAAAACAACATAACTTAGTCATGGTGGAATGGAGATTAATTTATTCTGTTCTAAATTTTCAAGACGGTCCATCATGGCTAAATCTTAAATTTTTAATCGAAAGTCACCAAATGTTACCCATAATCCAAATTTAATCTGACTGTGATGCACAAATGGAACACATTAAAAGTACCAGCCAGATGATATTCCTTGTCAGAAACCTGACTCCATTGGTTAAAATATACTTCATTACTGCCTGGCAACATTTTGGCCACCTATATATCAGACGCACCAACATGTCATTGTTTCTGTGAGATATGTGTTTTGTTGGTGTGTATTTTTTCGCTTTAACACACAATAACGTTCCAGTTATTTGTGTCCGGATTTTGTTGATGTGGCAGGATTATTATTGTAAATCATTACAGCAGTATTATCACCATGCAAATGGTGCAAATGTACAAAGATATTTCTGTACAGCTATGAATGATTATATGAATACCTGTGCAAGAATTTAAAAAAAAAAAAAAAAAAATCTTTCAGCAGATCTCCCAGTAGAAAAAAAATAAAAATAATATAAATAAACAAATTTGTGTCCAAGATGGAAATGATCAAGCTACAAGCAGATCTCCCAGTAGAAAATAAATAAATAATAATATAAATAAACAAATTTGTGTCCAAGATGGAAATGATCAAGCTACAAGCAGATCTCCCAGTAGAAAATAAATAAATAATAATATAAATAAACAAATTTGTGTCCAAGATGGAAATGATCAAGCTACAAGCAGATCTCTAGTAGAAAATGATAAATAATAATATAAATAAATGAAATTTGATCAAAGATGGAAATGATCGAAGTACAAGCAGTAAAATAAACAAATTTGTGTCCGAAGGATGGAAATGATCAGAAAATGACAAGCACAGCGAATTAACACAAAAAGCACACCAGCGTTTACTTATTAAACGCTTTGATCATCTGTCAGGTCTTGTAAATATCCAATTCGTAACTCAAAATAAGTCATAGAACAGGTGATTCTCCCAACTTACTAAAGTTAATCTGGCTTGGAAGGTTAACTGTAGCTATGGAAATGAATCGTGTTCTTTAACTTCTGTTTAAATGCTATATGTCCATGGGCTGGTAAAAGGACAGACCAGTTCCTGACATGACTCTTAAGCTTGATCACTGAACCAGTGGTTCTATATAGACCCTCACAGGCGCGGATACAGCTTTTTGAGAAAGGGGGGTGCACACTATTGAGAAAAGGAGGGGTGCACACTTCATTTTCACCCGAGTTTCAATGGTCATTTAACAAACCTTCAGCACAAAAGGGGGGGTTCGCACCCTGCACCCCTCCTCTGGATCCGCCTATGCCTCACTGGTTTTATAAGTGTGACTTCTGCAGTCATCTGTAATATGTACATAGTCCAACATATACCGGTATGTATGCTGGCTCATCCAACATTAATGTGACT